TATTCCTTGGGATAGCGACTGTTGACATACCCTAGCAATCAGGTAAGAAAAAAACCTCCTGCCCCCCAGGGTACTGTCACGCGATCTAAAGTTGGTAATACAGTCGACTAGCGATAACTCAAACCAAAATCGATTTCTCCTGGATGTAATTTTTGTTTCCCTTCAAATCATTTCTACATAATTTTACCCTCGATACCAGCTAAGTGTACTGCAGTCCGAAACAGTGATAGCAACCGTGCTAGTCACCAGAACAAGTCACTTGTCACCGGTTATTTGCTACGAAATCCCGATAACTCGAACTGTTTTTCGATACCCTCAAAGGTTTGAGTTATCGGGAGTCGACTGTACACCCTCAACCATCGTATACCTTGCCTAAAGGCCACTTGCTCTTCAACAGTGTTTTACATCTTTGTAAAATTTCTTGGAATTTACTATTTATAACCTCACACCAAAGCGCTATTCTCTTTCGTATACTTCTGTGAATCGTACGGAATTTTTGCACGAGACTAGAGCAATCAAGACATTTCCCACAAGTCCATGAGACTCTTGTCACGTGATTTTCCTTATCTCTTTGTTTCGGTAAATCAGCGGCTTTCACCGGCGGCTCACTTTTGTTCTGAGCTCTAATCAAAGAAAAGGAGCTAAAGTAAAAACAAAAACGAAAAACATTAGCTTCGTGGAGGCAGGGGTATAAGCACTACTTTCGTGAAGTAGGTATAACGACTGAACAAAGGAAAACTTGTATTAAACGGGAATAACTTAAACAAAAACTTCAAAGGGACGGAGCTAATTTTAAACGCCATCTTGAGCCAAGACTCAGTTAACCTCATCTTACGCTTATTTTATAAGATACTCGTGGAAAAAATAAAAAAAGAAAAAAAAAAATCTTGATGTCGAGTCTGCGTGAAAGAGTATTCTTTAAAGTGCACTTTTTTGCAAAGCAAACAGTTGTGTTAGTAGGAAAAAGTCTTACCAAAACGTTTTACCAGTCTTCCTCCACCAAGCCTTGAAAACAAGACACGTGACTACTGTAAAGAGCAAGACATTGATCAGAGTGGTGGGTGATACGCGTCTGTGTCCTTCTCTTAAGTCTCGGATGAGTGGATGAAGAAAGCCCCATGTTACCTCTGGCACGAAGTTTCGCTAAAAAAAGCAGAATAAATACGGCTTCTATGAATTCAGTACCATAGCCTTTGCGAAATAAAAGCTGCTTTTATTGTCTTGAATACGGCAGGTTAAAGTTGGCTTTGCTCATTTTAGCCCTTCGAGAGCAAAGAAATGAAAGAAAAAAAGGTAAAAAGAATGTCACTGTTGCATTTTAAAACAATCACAGCATGCATAGTTCTCCGTATGACGGTATTTCGTACTTGCCATTGTCTGTAGGGATATTAAAATAAAATCAAGACTACAAGGCAAAAAAAAAAACTCACCCTGTAAACTCTGTATTTTTCCAGGAGAGCTTCCAGTTCTGATAACGAACTGTTACTGACGACAAATGGCAAATATTCCTTGACAAACTCGCGCCTCCACCAAGCTTTCTCAGTGCTGCTGATAATATAAGCAGTTAAAGAAATTATAGTTAATTTCTATACTAGCTTATACTTAAACAACTTTGCTGCTTTTGATCGAACGAAGATTCCCTAATTTTCACCTTCACCTGTCTCGAGTCAACAATACCCCCCCCCCCCAAAAAAAAGAACAATATCCTCTTTTTTTTCAATTTTCAATTTAGTTACTTTTAAGTTTCCATTGCTCACATCTACGGTAGCAAAACACAAAAACATTGTTGTCATTTACGTAACAATGACAACAACAACTACAACAAACAAAGTCAAAGACTGATAAACAAAGAGCACACTCTTTACCAAAAGTATCTATCAAGCAAGACACAAAACAAACCCACAAAATATAGTGAGCACTCTTTAGCAACTTAATACTTAAGTGAACACTTTAAAGAGCGCGCTTGTCATTAACGGTGACAATTTAACACTGCTGAAATTTCAAACCAGTCAAAAGATTCCTAACACCGAAAAAAAAACAGAACGCGTAGACCACTAACGTAGTCTTCAAACCAGAACAACATGATGCGTCTATGCCAAGCGCCTACAGTAACAATCCAACCAGATACAAAGAGCGAGCTTGCTACTAGAGTAAAAGGCAAACCAGAAAACAAAGAGTGATCTTGCCACTACAGTAACAAGCAAACCAGAAAACAAAGAGGGTGCTTGCCCAAAAGTAACTAACAACCAAACAGAAAAAAAAGAGCGCAATTACCACAGGGGTAACGATCGAAAACAATTGCTCTTATCGTTGGCGTAACAGTTAATACAGAAAGAAAAGATTGCGCTTACAACTGGCGTAGCAATATATATTAAACAAAAACAACAATAACAACCATAAGCGCGCTCTTAGTTTTGATTGTTTACGCCTGTAACAAGCGCGCTCTTAGTTTTCATTGTTATGCCAGTCATAAGAACGCTCTTAGCTTCAGACTGTTATGCCGGTGATAATCGCGCTTTCAGTTTTGATTGTTATGCCAGTGAAAAGCGCGCTCTTAGGTTTAATTTTTACGCCAGTGACAAGCGGGCCCTTAGTTTTGATTGTTACGGCAGTGATAAGCGCGCTCTTAGCTTTGATTGTTACGGCAATGACAAGCGGGCACTTACTTTTGATTCATTATGCTAGTGATAGGCGTTAATGACAAGCGCACTGTTAGCTTTGATTGTTAAGGCAGAGATAAGCGAGCTCTTAGTTTTTATTCTTACGTCCATGACAAGCGCGCTCTTAGGTTTGATTGTTACGCCAGTGATAAGCGCTCTTAGTTTTGATTGTTATGCCAGTGATAAGCGCACTCTTAGTTTTGATTGTTACGCCAGTGATAAGCACGCTCTTAGCTTTGACTGTTATGCCAGTGATATGCGCGCTCTTAGGTTTGATTGATACGCCAGTGATAAGCGCGCTCTTAGTTTTGATTGTTATGCCAGTGATAAGCACGATCTTAGTTTTGATTGTTACGCCGGTGATAAGCGCGATCTTTGTTTTGATTGTTACGGCAGTGATAAGCGCGATCTTAGTTTTGATTGTTATGCCAACGATAAGCTTGCTTTTAGTATTGATTCTTACGCGTGTGATAAACACGCTCTTACTTTTGATTGTTACGCCAGTGACAGGCGGGCACTTACTTTTGATTGTTATGCCACTGATAAGGCCGACCTTAGTTTTGATTGTTACGCGCGAGATAAGCACGCTCTTAGTTTTAATTGTTACGCCCGTGATAAGCACGACCTTAGTTTTGATTGTTATGCCAGTGATAAGCGCGATCTTAGTTTTGATTGTTATGCCGGTGATAAGCACGCTCTTAGTTTTGATTGTTATGGCAGTGATAAGCACGCTGTTAGTTTTGATTGTTATGCCAGTGATAAGTGCGCTCTTATTTTTTTATTGTTACGCGAGTGATAAGCGCGCTCTTAGTTTTAATTGTAACGCCAGTGATAATTGCGGTCGTAGTTTTGATTGTTACGCCTGTGATAAGTGCGCTATTAGGTTTGATTGTTATGCCAGGGATAAGCCCGCTCTTAGTTTTGATTGTTATGCCAGCAATAAGCGCGCTGGTAGCTTTGATTGTTATGCTAGAGATAAGCGAGCTCTTAGTTTTTATTGTTACGCCAGTGATAAGCGTGCTCTTAGTTTTGATTGTTACGCCGGTGAGAAGCACGCTCTTAGTTTTGATTGTTATGCCAGTGATAAGTGCGCTCTTAGTTTTGATTGTTACGCCGGTGATAAGCGCGATCTTTGTTTTGATTGTTACGCCAGTGATAAGCACGCTCTTAGTTTTGATTGTTATGCCGGTGATAAGTTCGATCTTAGTTTTAATTGTTACGCCAGTGATAAGCGCGCTCTTAGTTTTGATTGTTATGCCGGTGATAGCACGCTCTTAGTTTTGATTGTTATGGCAGTAATAAGCACGCTGTTAGTTTTGATTGTTATGCCAGTGATAAGTGCGCTCTTATTTTTTATTGTTACGCCGGTGAGAAGCAGGCTGTTAGTTTTGATTGTTATGCCAATGATAAGTGCGCTCTTAGTTTTGATTGTTACGCCGGTGATAAGTGCGCTCTTAGTTTTGATTGTTACAACGGTGAGAAGCACGCTCTTAGTTTTCATTGTTATGCCAGTGCTAAGTGCGATATTAGTTTCTATTGTTACGCCGGTGATAAGCGCGATCTCAGTTTTGATTGTTACGCCAGTGATACGCGCGCTCTTAGTTTTGATTGTTACGCACGAGATAAGCAGGTTCTTAGTTTTAACTGTTACGGCAGTGATACGCGAGCTCTTAGTTTTGATTGTTACGCCGGTGATAAGCGCGATCTTAGTTTTGATTGTTAAGCCAGTGATACGCAGGCTCTTAGTTTTGATTGTTACGCACGAGATAAGCAGGCTCTTAGTTTTAACTGTTACGGCAGTGATACGCGAGCTCTTAGTTTTGATTGTTACGCCGGTGATAAGCGCGATCTTAGTTTTGATTGTTAAGCCAGTGATACACGCGCTCTTAGTTTTGATTGTTACGCGCGAAATAAGCAGGCTCTTAGTTTTAATTGTTTCGCCAGTGATAAGCGCGCTCTTAGTTTTGATTGTTATGCCAGTGATAAGTGCGCTCTTAGTTTTGATTGTTATGCCAGTGATAAGCACGCTCTTAGTTTTTATTGTTATGCCAGTGATAAGTGCGCTCTTAGTTTTGATTGTTACGCCAGTAATAGAGTGGTTTTCGTTTGAGTGTCGTAAAACCAAAACCAAAGTAATTACTCTGGCCAATCACATAGGACACAGACAATACATTGAACCAATCAAAACTCGAAGTAATTACATGTGGCTGACGCAAAGCGCGGGAAAATGCACGCGAGCGCGTCACAATTGGCTTTGGTTTTACTTCTGATTGGATGAAAAGGTGGCGCGAATCTTTTAAGCCAATCGCATCGTGTAGAAAGTGCAAAACCAATTACTTTTCGACACTCAAATGAAAACCGCTCTAAGCGCGTTCTTAGTTTTGATTGTTATGCCAGTGATAAGCGCGCTCTTAGTTTTGATTGTTACGCCGGTGATAAGTGTGCTCTTAGTTTTGATTGTTACAACGGTGAGAAGCAAGCTCTTAGTTTTTATTGTTATGCAAGTGATAAGCGCGCTCTCACTTTTGATTGTTACACCGGGGATAAGCGCGATCTTAGTTTTGATTGTTACGCCGGTGATAAGCGCGATCTTTGTTTTGATTGTTACGCAAGTGATACGCGCGCTCTTAGTTTTAATTGTTACGCCATTGATAAGCGCGCTCTTAGTTTTGATTGTTATGCCGGTGATAAGCACAATCTTAGTTTTGATTGTTATGCCGGTGATAAGTTCGATCTTAGTTTTGATTGTTACGCCAGTGATACGCGCGTTCTTACTTTTGATTGTTACGCGCGAGATAAGCAGGCTCCTAGTTTTAATTGTTACGCCAGTGATACGCGCGCTCTTAGTTTTGATTGTTACGCCGGTGATAAGCGCGATCTTAGTTTTCATTGTGACGCGCGAGATAAGCAGTCTCTTAGTTTTAATTGTTACGCCAGTGATAAGCGCCCTCTTAGTTTTGATTGTTATGCCGGTGATAAGCACGCTCTTAGTTTTGATTGTTATGCCAGTGATAAGCACGCTCTTAGTTTTGATTGTTATGCCAGTGATAAGTGCGCTCTTAGTTTTGATTGTTACGCCGGTGATAAGTGCGCTCTTAGTTTTGATTGTTACAACGGTGAGAAGCAAGCTCTTAGTTTTTATTGTTATGCAAGTGATAAGTGCGCTCTTACTTTTGATTGTTACGCCGGTGATAAGCGCGATCTTAGTTTTGATTGTTACGGCGGTGATAACCGCGCTCTTAGTTTTAATTGTTACGCCAGTGATACGCGCGTTCTTACTTTTGATTGTTACGCCGGTGATAAGCCGCTAGAAACAAAACTAACAATGCGGTCACTATTGGCGCGAGAATCAAAATTAACAATGCGGTCACTATGCGCGCAAGAATGAAAACTAACAATGCGCGCTCTATAGCAGGCTTATAGTTTTAATTGTTACGCCAGTGATACGCACGCTCTTAGTTTTGATTCTTACGCCGGTGATAAGCGCGATCTTAGTTTTGATTGTTACGCGCGAGATAAGCAGTCTCTTAGTTTTAATTGTTACGCCAGTGATAAGCGCCCTCTTAGTTTTGATTCTTATGCCGGTGATAAGCACGCTCTTAGTTTTGATTGTTATGCCAGCGATAAGTGCGCTCTTAGTTTTGATTGTTACGCCGGTGATAAGTGCGCTCTTAGTTTTGATTGTTATGCTAGTGATAAGTGCGCTCTTAGTTTTGATTGTTACGCCGGTGATAGGCGCGATATTAGTTTTGATTGTTACGCCAGTGATACGCGCGCTCTTAGTTTTGACTGCAAGTGATAAGTGCGCTCTTAGTTTTGATTGTTACGCCAGTGATAAGCGCGCTCTTAGTTTTGATTGTTACGACCGTTATAAGCACGCTCTTAGTTTTCATGAATATGCCTGTGATAAGCACACTCTTAGTTTTGATTGTTACGCGTGTGATAAGCATGCTCTTGGTTTTGATTGTAATGCCAGTGATAACCGCGCTCTTAGTTTAGATTGTTACACCCGTGATAAGCACGCTATTAGTTTTCCTAAATATACTAGTGAGAAGCGCGCTATTAAATTTCATTGTTATGCCAACGATAAGCTCGCTTTTAGTATTGATTGTTACACGTGTGATAAACACGCTCTGACTTTTGATGGTTACGCCAGTGATAAGCGCGCTCTTAGTTTTCATTGTTATGCCAGTGATAAGCACGCTCTTATTTTTGATTGTTAAGCCAGTGAATAGGGGGCTCTTAGTTTTGATTCTTACGCCAGTAATAAGAGCGCTCTTAGTTTTGATTGTTATGCCAGTGATAAGCACGCTCTTAGTTTTGATTGTTATGCCAGCGATAAGCGCACTCTTAGTCTTGATTGTTACGCCCGTGATAAGGGCGATCTTAGTTTTGCCTGTCATGCCAGTGATAAGCACGCTCTTAGTTTTGATTGTTATGCCGGTGATAAGCACGCTCTTAGTATTGATTGTTAAGCCAGTGATAACCGCGCTCTTAGTTTTAATTGTAACGCCAGTGATAAGCGCGCTCTTAGTTTTGATTGTTACGCCCATGATAAGCGCGCTCTTAGGTTTGAAAAACCCGATTTTTTAATCTATTCGTCTAGAGTTCTGGACGGATTTTAACGATTGTCGGCAGAGGCTACTTTTCGCACGCCAGCTTATACCGCGAAAATGTAGCCTGTGCCAACAATCATTAAAATCCGTCCAGAAATCTAGTTCACAATAGACCTTTTTACCGATACGGCGGCCATATTGAATTAATTTGATTTAAGGAGTATTATAGGATGCCCAGGGGGCATGAGCACATTTCGCTTGTATTTCTGAGCGCTTTTCGGGACATTTTTTCTTTAAGTTTTCTTAGAATAAGATTCTAATGGGAAAAAAGATCCTTGTGCCGCGTTTGGATGTAATAATGATCGCCTTTTTCCCGAGAAATATACAGTGAAAGACCATATTTCTAATACTAAACTAGCAAAAGGCGATAATTATTACATCCAAACACGGCAAAAGGATCTTTTTTCCCATTACAACCTTATTCTAAGAAAACTTTACGAAAAAATGTCCCGAAAAGCGCTCGAAAATACAAACGAAATGTGCTCATGCCCCCTGGGCATCCTATAATACTCCTTAAACTGAATTAATTCAATATGGCCGCCGTATCGGTAAAAAGGTCTATTGACCTGCTCCCAACGTCAGTGGCTTCATAGCTCAGTTGGTAGAGCATCGCACCGGTAATCGCGAGGTCACGGGTGCAAACCCCGTTGAAGTCCTGAATTTTTTTTTAGGCTTCTTTACGCAATTGCATAAATTGCGTTCATTGCGACGATCATTTCTTCATTTTCATTTCATTTCCGCAGTTCATATATGATTTATTTCATATATCATTAACAAAAAAGGTTTTGTTATATAATGGCTGATATAATCATGGGAAAAGATTTATAACGTGTCTCTAACAAAACAGGGGCAAATCATGCCACAAATTACCAATTTGATAGGAAATAGATTTCCTTGGCGATTTCCTTCCATATGTGAATAATAATTATTATTCTCAAGTGGCATGCTGCCCGTGAGCATGTGATAGGAAAACCAGAGATCTTGAATGTATTATCGTGCGCGAGGGTTTTCATTGCAGTTGAAAATTGGACGGCTAGGTGTTCTCGAACTATAGTGGGTTTATTTCGCCGCAGAACGAGAGCCTTTGGAGCTAAAACAAACTGCCAAGAGGTTTCTGCAGGTGCTGTATTTTTTTCTTAATATTTTTGTCGAATATGAACGGACAAATGCAGCGTAAGTTAGATAAATAGAATATATTTAATTTCAGCGCGCACGTAGCACAAAATTGGTTGTATTGAAGCGCTTACTGTGTTCGCCGTAGTTGTCTGATTACTCAATTTCTTCCAACAATGCTTTGGGTAAGAACAACGTTTCAGATGAGAGGTAGTTTGTCAGCTCTCCTCCGCCATTTGTGCGTTTACGTTCACAAATGTGTTGGCCTATCATTTTAACATTAAATTTGTCCAACATTTTGTGGAGCGATTGCCTTCAAACTTGCAGATATAAAACTAGAGAGGTCTGAGGCTTATTTGCTGAAGTTAGGGAAAAATATGCCAGGGAATTTCGAATCTGTTTCCATAAATGAGGTTTTAAATATATGCCGTTATCTCAAAAATGTTTAAACCTTCAAAAAAATAAATAACATTTTCTTAAAGTTCCATCATTATTTATTAAGGATGCAAAAAATCATAGAAATCGGTTGACTCGTTCATTCTAAAAAACGCGAATCAAAAACATAACCTACACGCATTTAAACAGGTTCGGGCCACCTTAAAGAAAAGAAAAAAAAGCGCGCTTGCGATTGTTGTAACAATCAAACCAAAAAATATAACCTGATAGTCACTTATGTAAATAGAGCGCTATTTCAGATAATTGCATTGCGGCACCTTACCTAGGATGTAGAAGTACTTGCCATATGCTGGAAGTATTTTGTGTGTAATGATACATATACAGCTGAGCACGGATAAACTGAGGAGGGGACCTGTTGAAAGGAACTTTACCCATGAGCTGTAATACGTCTTGTTTTCCTAACAACAACTTATGGATGAAACTTAGAAACCAAGGATTTTCAGTGTAGGATTCCAAAGCAGCGAACCATAATTGCCAGTCCAAGCGAGGCTGATGAGGCGCTGAAATAGAACATAAATAAACCAAAATTTGCAAATATAGATTCATAAAAATACTCAATCAGGATTCCACGGAAATACTCAAAACGAGGCTCAAACGTCATAAATTAACCACTGACACACCCAACAGAAGCGCAGGAAATATCTAACAGTGAGGGGCACAAGTAAGTGTTGACCAGTGCGTTAAAGTATGTAACCACGCCAGGAGCAGGTCAATACGAGGATTGGAGGAAGCAGATGGATGCGATGTATGCGTTGTACGATAAACATCGAGGGATCGAAGAACATGAACTAGTAACCACACAGAAGGAAATGGGTAACTAGTATTCATCACAGGAAATCTAATATTGTAATTAGAATCTCAGATAACTCAAGACATAGCGCCAGTGCAAAGCACGAGAAATTATGAAAGGACAAAAAGCATGGTAGCTTATGTCAAGATATTTAGACTCGGAAAAACTTATCACTAGCGTGAAATTCAGGAAACAGATAAAAAGGACGTCAAACAAAGAAAAAACTGGAAACCTTCATTGTCACCAAGCGTGAGAAAACATAATTCCATTCATTTTCATTCTCGGCCTTGCTATTTACCTTCGTTGATGTCTGAAAGCTCTGGATTATGGCTGCTTTAGTTTACGTTGATCCACATGACAGCAAAGCTTGCTTATAAAAGTAAACATCTTGTAGTAATACTCACCAACAAAGGGCGGTGGCTGATAAATATTCCCAGGCTTATAAAGAAAGATGTATTCCTGCCACATGAAATAAAATGACTTAGAACGGTAAATTACTTATATTTACTTGGACTTCTCTTCTCTTGTCACTTTCTGTCTTAAAGAATCTATGTATGTCACGATATTACCGTTTTAGGACAATTTTGTGCTCAAGTCATTACTTAGTAACTTAACCCATACACAAAATGCCCGTGTAGAGTTATAAAGTAGATACCAAACAAATTTCATAAGTGGGCGAGGGGCAGTAACTGCAATAATTTTCCCGGTTAGTTTTGCAGGCATTGTATTAAAACTTGAAAAGGTTGGCCCAATTTTTTCACGTTGCAATCCATTTCCGTCCTTGCCATCCGTTGCAAAAGACGACAGGAAACAGTTTCAATGGCAAAATAAAGTCTTAAATAACAAAATTATACCATTATTTTGCAAATTAAACTGATGCGAGAAAGGTTTTTAAAAACGATTACAAATAACGTGACATAACCCCTTTAACTTTGTGGTAACTCAACGCGTTTTTTCATTCGGACGTTTCTCTTCCTATCTGACTATGTACTGTATGGCGGTGATTCTATGGTGTGTGGTGTATTACGTAGCCTGATAAAACAGCCGACATTTCGCGACGCCACCACTGGTTCCGTCGTGAAATAACGTCTGAGAAACGAGAGCAGAAATTCCATACTGATGACGCGTCGTTTCCCAGATTTAGGTAGTTCTTCTGATTGGTTAAAGCAAATTTCCCACACGGCTCAACCAATCAGAAACACTACTCAGATCTGGGTTGTGGCGCGTCTTCAGTACGGAGTTTTTGCCCTCTTTTCTCAGACCTTAGGGTCAGGAGAAACCAATGGTAGCGTCGCAAAATGTTGGCTGTTTTATCAGGCTAAGTATTTCGCCGAATGCAATAATGTCACCTGGCCTGTATCTTACCTCCCAGGGTCCCTCCATTGAATTGCTTCCTATGATTATAATTTCCGGTCGCCCACCAACACCAGTCATACTAAAACAGTAATCACACATAGTTACCAATAAATTTGCAACTGCGCATGCCTGGAATTTAGTGCCTATTCACTGCTGGGAAATTTGTTGGGAATCGTTTGCTCTCATTGCTGAAATATCGTTGAAACATAGTTAAATCATAAAAAGAGATTAACCCGTTGGTCGTTCAATTAACTAGGACACTGTGACCTTTTTGAGTGTCCCTCCTGCTGCTGTTAATGGATCTAAACGATGGGGAGGACAGCACTTCTCTGGATTCTCTTGACTTCTTGCGTCAGTCTTACTTCTAAGGTAGATGAGGAGAGCCTCCGAATAAGCTTGCTGGGACTTCTCTGCATGGGAGGCATTAGGGAGCTTTAGCATTGACGACGGCAACGGCAGCGAAAACGTCAGTTTTAAAATGAATTCCCGTTTTTTCAATCTTTGTCGCGTTTATTCCAATTTGCTGAAAATGGCAAGTGCAGGCGAATTTCCCTGGCGTTGATTTCTTGACGACCGCACTCAAGTTTAGAGAGAGAAAAAGAGATTCGTCGTCGCTTGTTTACGTCCTCCATAAAACTTGCAATTAGGCATTTTCACGTCGTAGTCGTGCAAGGACGGTGAAGAAATGTACAAAAAAGCGTGATGCACGTGCAAAGTTGTTGTTTTGCGTAATAAACCTATTGCTTTTTTGACGTCCTGGTTGCCATCGCCGTCGTCGTTGCTAAAGCTCCCTATTGAAAGAGGAGGAGTGGGAGTAAGGGAAAAAGGGAGAGTGGAATGAGACGAGAAGGAAAGGGAATTCCTTTCCTTTCACATTTCGCTCTTTTCTTCCCCTTTCCATTCACATTTAGCGTCTGCTACACAGGCTGGGTGGGACCACTGGATACATAGTAGGCTTAACTGTAATCTAAGTACACACCTTCTGAACAGTCCGTATGCATTCGTGAGCTCTAAGTAGGCAGTGTTGCCATACAGATTAACAAACAGCTTAGGAAGGCTCCGCTGAACAACGCGGTCGACCGCTGTAAAGGAGTACTACATTTGCAATGAGAAAATTTTTTACAGTAAGCGCCTTAAATACATCAAACCTCAATGTAATGTTATTAGTGCATGGAACTGTTGAATGTGATCACTGTAGTTGAGGTTTTAAAAACAAAGGATTTTTCACGCAGTCAATAAACGTAGAGGAAAGTTTTACCATTCATTACCACACCGTAAGAATCAGTCTTTTTCTGGATAAATATAGAGGGAAAGTTGAACTGCGAGTTCTTTTTAAATGTACGAAGTAGAAAGCTTGAGGTATCTGCAAAAACTAAGCATTTAGTTACATATCTACTCTCATTGGTCAAATTGTCTACCGATTGTTGCCCACTTTTGCGTCCAAAATCCATGTTTTAAACAAACTCTCTGATGTTTTTTTCTTTATTTCTCGTAATCAGTGATCAGAAACAATGTAGCATAGCCCAAAATAATCTCTGATATAGCAATAATATAACGAAGCATGAAGCTAAGCAGGTATTTAGTTGTTATACCCTTACTTACCAAACTAACAGCAAACATCAACAAAGCGACGATCAAGAAACCAACCCATTGAGACAGCTGGCACAACTTTGAACGTGTACAACATTGTTCCAACAAACACCTACAAAACAGCAATCACTTAATAACCAGCGAAAATAGAAAATAGAGGGGAAAAACTTTTTAAAAAAGTTTAAAACAAAACACATAGGAAAAGCTGAAACATTGTTCTTTTAAATGGTCACACTTTTTGTTTACTAATCTGAATCGCCGACAACCAGAAAACGAAAGCAGTTATAGCGATTCAAATTTTTCCACTTTTCAGACTTATTGGCTTAAATTTCAGGTGATGATCACATCAATGTTTGCCCCGTTTAGGTTTCCCTCCATTCTAGGCTGCGAGCAAGCTCACTTCGCCGCTCGCCAGCGGGATCTCTCGCAGCTCGTTTGGCTCGCCATAATTGGTGCATAATTGGTGAGCTTGCTCGCAGGCTACCTCCATTCAGGAATCAACCGCGCTAATAAGTGTGACAGGTTTCGGAAACACCGTACCAAAATGAGACGGGATTTACCTGGTCAATGCACCAAGTATTTCAACCAGAAGAGACAGAAACCCCATCCATATTGCAAACTGAGTGGCCAGTTGAACTGCGTTTAAAAGTTGTTCAGGAGAAAATGCTGTGGAAAAAAAGACATGATAAATAGCAGATGAGAGACGCGTCGTCTGAAGGTTGTCATGCAGCGAAAACAGTTCAATATCCCTCCTGCTGCCTTGTTAGCAATATGGTATGGGTAGCCCCTCCCTCTCGAAAACAACGACAAAGGAGTAGGGCGGGTTGCTCATAAGACAGCAGAACAGGAGGGGGTGGGTGGGAGGGGCGACTTGCCCTCCAGCTTTTTATTAACTAACGTGGTCTTTTATAATACCGTAAAATTCAGAAAATAAGCCCCTCTATGTATAAGCCCTTCCAAATATAAGCCCCCCAAACTCGTAACGCAAAAAACCCTCCGTTAAATCGCCCCTCTAAATATAAGCCCCCCTCCCTCTCCCGGGGGTTTGTACTTGGAAATTGCCCTCAAATACAAAGTAAAACAAAGCAAAAACTATAAATTTCCTTCCAACTATAAGGCTAGCCCAATCAATTTTGAAACGCAAATTTCCCTCCATAGATAAGCCCCTCCGAATATAAGCCCCTCCAAAAATAAGCCCCACAAAAAGGGTCTTTGAAAAACATAAGCCCCAGGGCTTATTTTCGGAATTTTACGGTATAATACTAATCCCGTCATCATGAGGGATCATGAATATTCAAATCCATTAAATATTGAATATTCAAGAGTAAGAACGATGAACGTGAGCGAGTAAACAAGAAATGAGTGTGTTAAATCTCATCGTTTTTTATCTTTCATTAGAAGATAGATTGACATGCAGATACCTCTTCTAAGACCCCTATTCACTCAGTTGGTCCCTTACCACAAACAAACACAAAATAATATTTAACCTCCAAAAGCCAGGCAACTCTCTTAAGGAGTTCATTAGATAACACCTCGTTGTTGTCTCTTCTGCACAAAAACACCACATTAATTTTGTAAAGTCGAACATAAGAAAGGCCTCTCCAAGGATGAAACTTCCGCTCTTACACTTGACTTTTTAAACTCCTTCAACAAAAGGAGCACTTGATCTAAGAGATCTAAGATCGTTGTGCATGTGCTGCTTGTTGCTGGGAAATAGTTTCGAACCTGGGCTTAACAGCCGTGCGCTTGGTACAGCGCACTCAGTTCTGACCATCCGCGGTGATCAATAAACGAATGCTTGCATAAGGGAACTCGTTTGACGAGAGAGAAAATAAGATTGATCAGTCCAGAAGTTTGGGCTGTGGCGACTTCAAAGGCCTGACTCGATTCAGGCACAGCCTCCTTTCTCCTGTTCGCTCAAGAATATAAAAGAAAGCTGTAGTGTCCTGTTACTTTGCAGTACAGTTAATACCTGTTTCACAATGAATTGTTCCCTCTTTGGTCAACTTGATATTAAACCACTTGACGGTGCAGACAATCATAGTTATCAGCACGGTAAGGGTTGATAACAGGATGCCTGCCAGCTTGATCCAAGTGGGAGTAAGGGAAAAAGGGAGAGTGGAATGAGACGAGAAGGAAAGGGAATTCCTTTCCTTTCACATTTCGCTCTTTTCTTCCCCTTTCCATTCACATTTAGCGTCTGCTACACAGGCTGGGTGGGACCACTGGATACATAGTAGGCTTAACTGTAATCTAAGTACACACCTTCTGAACAGTCCGTATGCATTCGTGAGCTCTAAGTAGGCAGTGTTGCCATACAGATTAACAAACAGCTTAGGAAGGCTCCGCTGAACAACGCGGTCGACCGCTGTAAAGGAGTACTACATTTGCAATGAGAAAATTTTTTACAGTAAGCGCCTTAAATACATCAAACCTCAATGTAATGTTATTAGTGCATGGAACTGTTGAATGTGATCACTGTAGTTGAGGTTTTAAAAACAAAGGATTTTTCACGCAGTCAATAAACGTAGAGGAAAGTTTTACCATTCATTACCACACCGTAAGAATCAGTCTTTTTCTGGATAAATATAGAGGGAAAGTTGAACTGCGAGTTCTTTTTAAATGTACGAAGTAGAAAGCTTGAGGTATCTGCAAAAACTAAGCATTTAGTTACATATCTACTCTCATTGGTCAAATTGTCTACCGATTGTTGCCCACTTTTGCGTCCAAAATCCATGTTTTAAACAAACTCTCTGATGTTTTTTTCTTTATTTCTCGTAATCAGTGATCAGAAACAATGTAGCATAGCCCAAAATAATCTCTGATATAGCAATAATATAACGAAGCATGAAGCTAAGCAGGTATTTAGTTGTTATACCCTTACTTACCAAACTAACAGCAAACATCAACAAAGCGACGATCAAGAAACCAACCCATTGAGACAGCTGGCACAACTTTGAACGTGTACAACATTGTTCCAACAAACACCTACAAAACAGCAATCACTTAATAACCAGCGAAAATAGAAAATAGAGGGGAAAAACTTTTTAAAAAAGTTTAAAACAAAACACATAGGAAAAGCTGAAACATTGTTCTTTTAAATGGTCACACTTTTTGTTTACTAATCTGAATCGCCGACAACCAGAAAACGAAAGCAGTTATAGCGATTCAAATTTTTCCACTTTTCAGACTTATTGGCTTAAATTTCAGGTGATGATCACATCAATGTTTGCCCCGTTTAGGTTTCCCTCCATTCTAGGCTGCGAGCAAGCTCACTTCGCCGCTCGCCAGCGGGATCTCTCGCAGCTCGTTTGGCTCGCCATAATTGGTGCATAATTGGTGAGCTTGCTCGCAGGCTACCTCCATTCAGGAATCAACCGCGCTAATAAGTGTGACAGGTTTCGGAAACACCGTACCAAAATGAGACGGGATTTACCTGGTCAATGCACCAAGTATTTCAACCAGAAGAGACAGAAACCCCATCCATATTGCAAACTGAGTGGCCAGTTGAACTGCGTTTAAAAGTTGTTCAGGAGAAAATGCTGTGGAAAAAAAGACATGATAAATAGCAGATGAGAGACGCGTCGTCTGAAGGTTGTCATGCAGCGAAAACAGTTCAATATCCCTCCTGCTGCCTTGTTAGCAATATGGTATGGGTAGCCCCTCCCTCTCGAAAACAACGACAAAGGAGTAGGGCGGGTTGCTCATAAGACAGCAGAACAGGAGGGGGTGGGTGGGAGGGGCGACTTGCCCTCCAGCTTTTTATTAACTAACGTGGTCTTTTATAATACCGTAAAATTCAGAAAATAAGCCCCTCTATGTATAAGCCCTTCCAAATATAAGCCCCCCAAACTCGTAACGCAAAAAACCCTCCGTTAAATCGCCCCTCTAAATATAAGCCCCCCTCCCTCTCCCGGGGGTTTGTACTTGGAAATTGCCCTCAAATACAAAGTAAAACAAAGCAAAAACTATAAATTTCCTTCCAACTATAAGGCTAGCCCAATCAATTTTGAAACGCAAATTTCCCTCCATAGATAAGCCCCTCCGAATATAAGCCCCTCCAAAAATAAGCCCCACAAAAAGGGTCTTTGAAAAACATAAGCCCCAGGGCTTATTTTCGGAATTTTACGGTATAATACTAATCCCGTCATCATGAGGGATCATGAATATTCAAATCCATTAAATATTGAATATTCAAGAGTAAGAACGATGAACGTGAGCGAGTAAACAAGAAATGAGTGTGTTAAATCTCATCGTTTTTTATCTTTCATTAGAAGATAGATTGACATGCAGATACCTCTTCTAAGACCCCTATTCACTCAGTTGGTCCCTTACCACAAACAAACACAAAATAATATTTAACCTCCAAAAGCCAGGCAACTCTCTTAAGGAGTTCATTAGATAACACCTCGTTGTTGTCTCTTCTGCACAAAAACACCACATTAATTTTGTAAAGTCGAACATAAGAAAGGCCTCTCCAAGGATGAAACTTCCGCTCTTACACTTGACTTTTTAAACTCCTTCAACAAAAGGAGCACTTGATCTAAGAGATCTAAGATCGTTGTGCATGTGCTGCTTGTTGCTGGGAAATAGTTTCGAACCTGGGCTTAACAGCCGTGCGCTTGGTACAGCGCACTCAGTTCTGACCATCCGCGGTGATCAATAAACGAATGCTTGCATAAGGGAACTCGTTTGACGAGAGAGAAAATAAGATTGATCAGTCCAGAAGTTTGGGCTGTGGCGACTTCAAAGGCCTGACTCGATTCAGGCACAGCCTCCTTTCTCCTGTTCGCTCAAGAATATAAAAGAAAGCTGTAGTGTCCTGTTACTTTGCAGTACAGTTAATACCTGTTTCACAATGAATTGTTCCCTCTTTGGTCAACTTGATATTAAACCACTTGACGGTGCAGACAATCATAGTTATCAGCACGGTAAGGGTTGATAACAGGATGCCTGCCAGCTTGATCCTGTAGACAGTTCGGTTGTGTAGAAATTCTTTGGCTTGTGCGAATTTGGAATTTTCGTAATGCGTGCTCATCCAGTTCAGCACGTGTTCCATTAACTGCGACGTTGTTGAAACGTCCTCTGCCAAAATGAACGAAAAGAAAGTTTAGTATATCGCTGATTCTTGTCAGCGAACATAATACGATTATGATTATGAGGCTCTTTTGCTAAATGATCAGAATGTTAGCAAGCAATGATCAACTGTTCCGTTCCGTGAACTGAAAACGAGGTTAGAGTTTACACAGTAGGTAGCGATCGCTTGACTGTAATACCTGAGGTCACTGGTTCGAGGCTCGGAACCTGGCCAATACTCAGGGTCTTAAAATAACTTAGGAATGAAGGTACTGCCTCTGCCCTGCAAAAAGCTAGACCTTCGCGGGGCTCGGATGATGAAGTAAATCGCGTCTTCATTGGGAGATGCAAAAACGGTGTGCTCAGTTAGTACAAAACTTCTTGCTTTTGAGCTGGCAGCCTTTTTTGTAACATAAATTCTTACCTTGCCTTTCGCTCTCTGGTGGGCAAGATGCTTTTTGTATCTGTTTGTCAGTTCTCTCTTCCTCAATACCTACCCGTAATTCATAATACAAAGAAACAATAAGTTGTTATTAAGATACAGGCATTTTACAAGTGGGCTTTTGTCAAGCTCACTGCAAAAGTACCTCTTTAAGTGAGAGGTTCCTTTTCTCGATAAGAGATTGTCTTAACTTCCCCTTGTTATTCTGTGGAAGATCACGCAAGTAACAAAAGGAAACAATCGTACCCTCTATTTATTAACCGCTTGTTAGTTTTTTAGCCATAGGTAGCTACTACCAGCCGTAGCTCTTTTTTTTTATCTTTCGATCAAACTGAGAGGCCTGCAGATGGTCAGCCTTTTAATATTTTTAGCGAGGGTTGAAGGGTTGTAATGACAAGAATGTAACCTAGTGATGGCTGCCGGTGGAAAAAATTCAACGGCCAAAAAGAGCAGAAAATTCACGTTTAAAACAAACCGAGTTATTTTTCAGGCGCAGTTATTTACGAAGCCGGCTAGTCTGTTTAATGAGCCTCCTTAGACTTAAAATTATGGGATTGGATAGGATATTCAGAAAGAATAAAAGAAAAAAAAGCCCACTAGCCAAAACATTCAGCCTATAGTGTAAATTGGTGAGGAGATATAAGCACCGGCTTGTTCTGATGACTCCGTACAAATAAACAGGCTCATTTTTAGCGTTCGGAACATTTTTTCCTCGTTTTTCCATAGTTTCACCAATTTATTTTTGCAACGTCATGGATTTGCTTTTGATAAGTTGAGAAAATGGCGCGAATTTTTTAACCAATTACAAAACCGAGGCGTACAGTAAGGCTCGTGTTGAGCCGTTTTTGATGCCGGCGCTAATATACAAGAAACCTCCGAAATGACTACCTGGCTACCCTGCGAAAGTTTAGCGAGATACCATTTTTTTGGAAAAATCATACCCCTGCTAGTACACCGTATTTGCTTCAACTAGCCCATCTTATCGTTGTGTGCTTGATAACCTAAATACCCTGCCGGGACTTTGAGTGGAAGAGAAGAGGCAGGGGTTAACTTTCACGTTCGACACGACGTTAAGGGTAATATGAACCTATGAGGAAGATTATCAGATAGGCCACTTACGCTGGCATCTCTTTACGCAGCAAGAACAAACGCATCTTTTACAGAGAAAGCATTGTATGCGGGACAGGATACACTTGTCGTCCAGTAATGATACGCACAAAACGATGGTCAGTAGGTTGAAGAAATTGTAGTTACCAGTGAGAAGAATCAACAGCTGTAGAAATATCTGCAACAATTTCAATACTTACAACTATTGGAAGTGTGCGATTAAATTTGTAAGATTACGTTAACAAGAAACTCTGTTGTAAGCAACGTTGCAAACAAACTCAATATGGATAAAAAACGACACTGGAATAAAACCTTTTTCTCTCAAGTGATTTATTTTAAAAGAGACTAATAGAGAGGCGAGATCACAAATCAGAGAGCTGGCACCAGGCTCCGCATGCGTATTGGGGAAAAAGTCATAAAAACAAAGAGGGGTTAAACAGTGAAAGAAAGGCCCTTAGCTACAAATTACAGTGACGATAGCTTCCACACAGTTTGATTTTTAAATCCGATCCTTAAGTTTAATAATTGAGTTGTCAATTCTTTACTCATATAAGATTTCTTATATAGTAGGTAGTGAAGGACGACTCTGTGGAAGACATGAATAATAACATAGGGTGCTTAAATAAACCTCGATTGTTTGTTTGTTTTTATTCTTCTGTGACTATCACTGGTATCCCTTTAACTTCACTCACCTGGACGATCACATCTAACTAACTTTTAACATCCAAAAATCACGGAAAGGGGAAAGATAAGAGATGATGCAGAAAAATTTGATTTGTAGCTTTTCTTACCTCGCTACAGTAGGCAAATACACGGAGAATCCTTACGGGAGAAAACGCCAGGAAAGGGATTCCGATCTCTATGACATATCTGCAGAACGAAAGAACGAAAGGCAACAAAACGTCTTCTTTAATCGTTGTCAGTTACTTATATCCCGAGGAGTGAACTCTGCTACGAGAATAATGAAGACTGTCCAAACTGGCAAGGTGTCCATAAAATACTCACAAAAATGGAGCCAAAGAGGACTACAAACGTCACTATATACCAAAATTAGATTTTTTTTTTACCAAACATCGAGAAAATTTGCAAGCCTACAAGAAATCAAATTGTCCAAAGAGAACTGAGAATTTTGTATGGAGACTACGTCTTCAAGAAAGTGTCGTATTTATAGTGTTCGTTTCCTTGCAGCAGAGTTCAGTGTTGGACGTTATAATTTTCTGACGAAGAAACGTGAAATCTGGGCATGAAGACCGTTTCTTAACGGTTAGTTAAAACTGTTAGGTTGTTTTTTCGGTTAAAAACGCGCATGACCAGTCAGTTAGCGTGAGCTAGTGTCACTTGATCGATACCAACGTGATACAATCATCTAAATTACCGCAATGAAGGTATTGCGGCCAGCACCACATTACCGATAGTTATTGGTATTTCTTTAACAATTATTCCTCGAGCCCGAATGGGTTCTGAGTCAATAGCCCATGAGGCCGAACTCCGAATGGGCTATTGACTCAGAGGCCATTCGGGCTCGAGGAATAATTGTTTTAGCAAAATCCAACTAGTTGGTCAAACATATCGAGAATAAAAAACTTTTAGCTAGTTAAAGCTAGACTTTAATCCTTTTTGCCGCCAAAAAGCCGGCGCTTTTCGCTGCTAGTGGGCTATAACGTCTAGCCTAGTAGTAGCTCAACCAATCAGAACGCAGCATTGATAATAGACCACTAGCTGGATTTTACTAATAACCCTTATTCTTCACTCCAACACTGCTGGTGGCTTTGCATATTTATTCCCATCAAGATCATTGTCAACTAATCCTATATCAAAATGTGTAGTTAACATGGACGATAAAATCCAAATGGTCCCTAGCATGGGTAGGACTGAGCTTTCACAACGGCGAAGGCGACGAAAATAGTCACGTACATTCGCATTCTTCCAAATTTCATCGCGATTATTCTAACTCGCTCATCTTGTCAAATGTTTGAAGGCGAATTTTGCCAGAGGTAAACACTTAGGCACTGCACCCAAGATTGAGGAGAAAAATTCTTTGAGGTGTTTTCACGTCCACCAACGTCATTAATTGAGAAATTAGTATGTGTAATCAAATTTTGACTAGTGAAATTAGGGAGTAATTTCACGCGAGTTTAGGCGAGGGAAATTATTAGGATTTGGACAAAACGCGCGTGAAATTACTCCCTAATTTCACTGGTCAACATTTGATTACACATACTAATAGTCGTGCAGCGACTACAACAAAATTTGTAACAAAAAGTATGGTAGAAGCGAAATTATGGGATTTGTCAATTACTTGTAACAACTTCTGCCTTTTTACGTTTCATAATCGTCGCGTCGCTGCATAAGTTCCCAAAAATTGGTTTCGAACGAGGTCTCGCTCAACGTACATCTAGTCTCACTTCGCTTAAATAACCGGCAGGAAATGTTTTTCGTAGTGCATGATCTTCATATACCGCACGTTTAACACTAAATTAAATAAATGGAAACAAAGCGCAGTAGCAACAGTAACTTTCTATTTACCATTTCGTTTTCCTACTTACGTGAAAACAACGCTGAGTCGATGAAAGGAAGAGGGAAGCTTCTGAAAATACCAGGCCACAGGTGTAGGGATACACTGAAACAGCAATGATAACAAATAACAAATAAAGCTGAACCTCTACCGACAAGTCGCCACTTAATGGTGGTTGGCCGCTCAATAGAGGTTCCTAATAAATAAGCATAATATTAAACAGAAACATTTATCTTGAAACAAATACGCGACGGGAGCGACATGGCTGGTCCACAATCAGACACCTATATCGGGCTGCAATTTCCTTCATCATACTTCTATAACGACCGCAAAGAGGTTCAACAATAAAAGAGATTCATGCTTGCAGTCTGCTGTTGTTTCTGAAATATATGTTAATTCAACTGAATCGGAAAGAAGAATTGCTCTTTTATATTAATCTGCAATTCTTCTTCATTGTTAACTTTACCATACGTAGCTAATTCTTTCATGCGTTGACTTTTTTTACACATTCAGATAGAAAAAAACATCATGAACTCTCTGTGACAGAAAAAGGAACCTTCTTTTTGATCATTTGACGTTGTTGTGATACCTACAAGGCGACATAGGGCGCTTTCCATGAAACCAAAACTTTTCGAAAACTTGGAAACGGCGGAAAATGGTACAGAAATTTCCCGGAAAAGTTTCCAGAAATTCTGGAAACTGTTGAATTTCCTAAATGCGAACCATTTAACCGAAAGTTCTAGCTTTTCCGGAAGCAAGTTGAAAAGAAAGAAAACTTGCGGGAAATTTTTTTCGAAAATTTGGGCATACCTTGCAAGGTTGTCCTGTTTTTGGAAATTTAAAAAAGTGCTGTTGCATTTGCGCCTGCTAGTTGCCGAAAATTCAAACCGGACGTTTCGGTTGAATGGAAAGCGCTCATAGGAACGAAAATGAAAAACCCCAGCCTAGTCCCCAGGCGTTTTCGGCTCGGTCATTCCTGGACCCTACCATGAGCTGTGACGTCACGGGATCAAGAGAGAACGCCTAGGGACTGGGCTGGAAAAACCCACTGTTCGTTCGCGCGCTTTCGCAGCTTCGCCGCTTATTTGCGCGCCCGCCAGACAAAACCACTAGTTACGCAGGCACTCAACTCGCCATGTACTGTACTTTCTTTTCCACCTGACCTGTGATTCATAATGCCAGTTTAGAGCAGTAAGATTCCACCAAGTTTTATCCATGTAGGTTAATTTGACAACACCGGAGGCAAACATGAGCCGGAACAACAGCCACTTCACAAGCCATAGCATTATACTGTCATGGTGTCTAGAAATATTCCTGTGAAAATAAAAATAAAAACAAATATTAGCATTAAACAAATCAAAATCACTTGGAATTCGTGGAAGAGTCCTTTGTCTTGCGCTCAGTCTGTTACAGTGCAGTAGTGACGTAGTGGTCAGTGATTGTTTGCTTTTTTTATCGTTATTTATTTATTTATTTATTCATTTCCTATTATGTACCTGACACGCCTCATCTTCAGGAAGAAGCATTTTCCTAATTTCCACGGAGTGAAAGAAATATTCCACGGAGCAATCAGGAATGCTAGAAAACCACTTTCCCATAATAGTGCATCCCTGATGTAACACAAAAAATGAAATAACAACTTGAAGATGATTAATCTGGCAAACAATTAGCCTGCAAGGTATAACCTGTGTAGCAGGCGCTTGGGAGTAACATGCGATAAAAAACCGGGCACGCGAAGGACGTGGGCGTGTCTCCGTTGAGCGCCCCCTCTTTTATCACATAATTACTTCCCAAGCACCTAATACACAGGTTATAACTTGCAGGCTTCTTTCCTGTGCCCATTACTTTCAAGGGCCTTCTATGTAAGCTCCCTGCATACCTGCATGGCAGGTACATGAAAAAAAAAAAAGGCGTAAAATTAAAGAGCAAGGACACTAACCGCGAGAGAGAAGAATGTACGTCAGGTTAATCTTGTAAAGCGACAAGATTTTTTTCCTCGGAAGGCTGGAATTAAGCCAACGGAAATTTTCCACCCTAGGGAGCGGAAAAAACTTAAAGGCCTTGCAGGAAGACTATCCTTCTCTCCTCACGCGTGTCGTACTCCCTCGTGTGCATCGCGTCTTATATTTCTTACGCACCTTCCCTACCATCAGTACTATACTATAAATAAATTCCAACATGACCATCATGTAAATTCGCTTCAACTTACCACTGATAGCGTATGAAAATCTGGCCAACCTGACAAAAATATAGAAATGAATTATATGAAAATAACATCTTTAAAAGTTCTACAGAGGATGCACTAAATAACTTGAAAATCTTACTCACCAGTGATTTATATAAAATTACAAAACAGCTTACTTGTAACTACTGTTATGTTTCGTATAATTTCAAATACTTATTGAAAGTTCCCGTATGAATTAAAATGTAACTGATTCTTCAAACGTGCCTTATTATGTCAGCTTTTATAGGGAAACTGATAAACAATAATTATTGTAACATTTTTAAAAATTATAGGCAGATCTACTTGCACTGTAAGTATAATCACAAATTAAGATTAATGACACAAAGTTGAAATGAGGAAAGACTGGGCAACCTTGTTAGAAACTAATGGGCATTTGACAAAACATCTGTCAAATGTAGGATTTTATTCCAACAGTGGTTATGAAGTTTTTAGATTTCTCATTATTTCAATATCACTCTAGCTGAACTCACCGGCAACATAGAGTAGTAAAGAAACCACAGCGTCAGAAAACCCAAGCAGTCTCTACATCTCTGTGACACAAGGAAAACAAGAGACAGTACAATACCCAGTATGCAGAGGAATTCCATTCCAGTGGGTGTGTCTAGTCCTAGATATGGTGTCACCCATAAAAGGGTGGGTGTCTTCTGGAATAGTGAAGTAAAAGATGTGTCCAGAACTAAAAGAGCATAATAAGAGTCAACAGATTTTGTTGGTATTACTGTATCTCTAATTGTGCAAAGAGGACTGCAGACTGGATGGAGCAAAATGGTAAAGGTCAATTAAATGTGAACATATTAGTGCCTGTACCTGTACATGGTAGCAACAGTAGAGTGTTAAAAGGGTTCAGCCATGTCTGCTTTTTTATTGTTGTTGTTGTTTTTTTCTGGATGTCATGTTGTAAGTTGACAACAGGCCATTTGCACGATGATGTCATTTTACTTCTATGACCAGACTCCTTTTCGTTTTTCCTTCAATATTATTTTAAACTTGGTAATCCCAGTGAGGTTTAAATGACAAAAGTTCTAATTTCCAAGAGAAAGCAAAACCCTGAAGGCTTCTGGTCATAGTAGTAAAATGATGCCATCATGCAAATGGCTTATTATCATCAAGTATGAAATATACAGAGATTACACTGGGTTCAATATTTTAATTTTCATTTAATTTAAGGGTTAATGCATCAAAGGATAGAGGTTAGCCTATGAGGAAGTAGTTGAACATGAGGTTACTAGATGACTCAAAGTGGAAATCTTGTCCTCTAAACCACTTAGCCATCCTCCATTCTGAATTTATTGACTGATGGCTTTGAAACAAAGGTTACCATTAAAGTGATGTAAGGCACCTATTCTACATTGTAGTATTGTTTCTTTTTTATGAGAGATGAGGAATAAAGCTACAACTTGAGATCAGGCTCTATTTTCAATTCACTTAGTACATGTGAATGTTGTGGTTCAGTTTTATCCTGGGTTTACATTTGTAAATTTTATTTCCCTTTGTTCTAAATTCATCATACCTTAACATTCTCATAAACAAAGGAAAATAAAATTTAAACCAAGGATAAAATTGAACAACAACCTAGATAAAATCCTAGTGACTATGTAACAGAGAAAGTAAAAAAAAATTGTGCCTGGTATCAGGCTAATAATTAAAAGCTGCTTTGAATTTTATGGATAACTAGATACAGAATTCTTATCCTGCCAATACAACAATGCTATCAAATCCATCATAGCATGAAGCTGTAATTTCAGCTGTATTATTATTTTATAGCTCCATGCTCATGTTATATAAGTCTTACTGTGGCAAATGTTGCAAGACTTCATGCAGTTCTCAATCATCCATCCATAGTTTTTCTTGCATTCTCCGGCTGCTGCCCACTGGCCACAAGAGGAACTCTTATCTGTACATATTGACACTGCAATATTAAAAAGGTTCACTGTAGGTACAGGTAATGTACAGCATAGCAATTTACATTACCCGAAAGGTATTGATAATTTGTTGAATGGAGTACAATAGAGTATACATAATGTACACCGGCGGTACGTTGCACATAGTCAAACAAACAGTCACTCAAAAGTAAGTTATTACAGTGTAATCACATCTTGTTTCCTATAACATTACTATGCAATGGAAATTGCATCATATGCTTCACAATTCCGTCTCTTTTCCCCATCATATGATAATCATCATCATCATCATCATCAACATCATCATCTGTCATCTTAATAAGCAATTTCGATTACAACCAGTGACAAATGTTGTTAAAAAGAGATCCCGATATTTATCACTGTAAATTTCTATCCCTGTCTCAGTGGAATATCTGATCTGCTTCAAAAGTCTGGTTAGTCTTGAAAGAAACAATAGAAGGCACTGCTCAAGAAAGTAAGGTATGAAAAAGTGTGTTGGTCAGAATTATGCTGACATTAAACAACGTAAGGTGAACTTACAGTCATGCAATATGTAACTAGCAGGAAGAATTCCATCATGACCATAAAGACCTGTAACAATAAGGTTAAACATTTGTAGTAGCTAAACGGTAAACACTTAAAGATCAAAATCAAAATCCAGTAAAAGATCCTGAATGACTCTGAACAGTAATTTTTACACGAATGTTATCAAATGAAACTGATCAAGTTGAATTTTTACATTTTATAGATTTTAGGTAAAAACATCTGAAGAGTATATTTAATCGCTGCTGTTGTTATCGTTTGACTAGCGATCGCTCAGTTACAAACTCGCGGACCGACATGTACACTGTATCCTCTCATCAGTGGGTACAGAACAGTTATAAGTCATCATACCAAAAACATTGGAAGGGTCCACGTACCTGGTATTTGTATGTATAGCGAGGTGAAAGCAAATAAATAAATTGCTGCCATGCACCAAAGGAAACCCTGACGAACCACCTGTTGAGGCGCTCGACATTTTGCCACTGCGGTCATCTTATAAACATTGCTCAGAATTTCCTGGGGCAAAAGCTTGTAATTTTAGACTTAAAACGTTTCTTTGTGTATTGATGGCATGTTTATCTGCAATGTAGATTCAAAGCAATTGAAAACTTTCCTGTTTTCATTTCGAATTGGGCGCCAAACATCCTATTAGATCGAAATTCGAGAACAAAGAAAATATTTTGTCCTGTTTATGGATTAGTTTACATGAAGGGACTGGTGAAGATCACCGTGGACTCGGGGGAAATCCAAACATGGCAGCCTACGGAAAGCAAGCTCTCGTACAAAATACATTTTTATGGTTTATTGCCGCGATTTATCTCTTTGCTTTCTCCTCTTTTTACATACAGATACCAGGTAAATACTGCAATTTCATTTCATTTCCTTGCATGATAAACCTAAATTGGGGAATCGATAGAAACGTTAACTTATACCATGACTTCTAAACAATGCAGGTCTTTATGGCAAAAATGGTGTTCTTCCTGCCAAGCTTGCCCTGAGAGAAGGTACGATGTTAATTTAACTTCATGGAAGCGTTTTCTTTTGTTTACATATATCAACCAGAACTCATCTAAAATATAGACGAACTGTTGGAGAATAACTTACGTGCTGTGATTCTCACCGAAGTTAAGTACGGGGATGTTCCACCTCGAAAGGCAAGAAGAAGAAATGTGTGGCATTAGTGAGACTTTTCTGGTAAACTTGTTAAGATGTACCAGTTAGAAATGGTTACAGGCCTGTTGATGATTCAAATCAATCAGATGTAATGCAATAATTAATATACATTTTGTAAATTCAGAGAGTTCATCTATAGAAGAAAACTTCTGGCAAAAGCCTACCCTCCTGTGGCTCACCCCCAAGCTTGGATTGGACACTCAGACTGGCATGGAGCTTCTTTGTTTAGTGGGAATGCTTCTTTCAATGCTGGCCATGTCATTCAGATCTTGGAGAGATTCCATTACATTCTTTGTCCTTTGGTTTCTTTATTATTCTTTATATCAGGTAAAAACTCACTCATTTAAGAATCTCTAGGTACCAGATGATTGCATGTAGTATACCAGCTAGTCTGTATTTGTAACACCAGTTCCAATTTTTTTATTACTAAAATTATAGACTTTATTTATACAATAAACATATTACACATGTACATATATACAATTATTTACTTTAACCATTTATCCATCTCTCTATATAAACAAACAAACAAAGATCTCTCTAGGAACATCCTTAATATAGAAGAGAATTTGTTTAATAAGTCAAGACAATCTGATTATTAATTTTGTAAGATTTTTTGAGAAAGTACCCTGATAATCATTCAACCAACAACATCACACTTAGCTTGAAGGGGTATTTAATTCTAAACTTCATTTAACATATAATAAAAACTGTAATACTTATACAGTAGCCTTACATCTCAATGTATGACCATCGTATATTGAGAAGAATGTCGCACAAATTGAATGTGAAACCTAATTTCATTTTCAGGTGGGACAAACATTCATTTATTTCCAATGGTAAGATCATATTCAGTAACTGTTGATTACATATCAACTACTGCAAACATTGCTTTTCTTATTCCAATGCTCCTGCGCAACATGTTATAAACACACATGGATTAAAACTAAAATGCTCACTTTGCACCTTAGAGAATTCCACCTCCAGGCCCAAGTGAAATTTTTCTTAGAGTGCATGCAGCCTTGTAAAACAATAACTCACTAAAATGGATGACAATTACTTCATTTTTTTTTTTCAGGGATATCCTTCTTTTGGAGACAGGATTTTTAACAATTCTTGTTTCTCCTCTGAATTTGTTTAAAGCAAGAACTAATTACAGGTATACATGCAAGCATCCCTCCAATAGTTTATGTTGGACCAAACCCAGTGGACTTTGAGGGGGGGGAAGAGAAACAGTGATATTATATATTGGAATTGCTTAAGAAAGCCTTTTCCTGTATATTTTGTAGCCTGAGAGAAAAGCTCCCCTAGGAGTTGAGGGGATGAACTCAAAATTATGCAGCTTTAAAATAATGTCAAAACTTAAACTGAAGAGATATGGATTGCATACTAACTTCAAAAATGCTGTGATTGAAACAATGAGCTTTGACTGCTAAATTGCAATAGACCTAAGTTAAAGCTCTTTGCCATATCCTGTCATGTGTTTGGGAATTTCTTAAAGAGCTGAACAATCCTTATGGAAAACTGCAAATGGTAACAATAGAATAGACTAATTTTGTCTTTGATATATTGAAATTCAGACCTGGCCCTGAGGATTTTGGAAATGGAACAAAAGAAATAAAATCATCTTGCAGCGCATTAATGAATGTCATAGCGGAGCACCATGCATGGGTGAGAAAATTTGGTCATCCATGCATCTAAGAAATTTTGGTAGTCAGGTGACTGTACACCCATCCGTTCACACCACAGGCTAACCTATTTGAAATGATATATTTCTTACTTTGTGTAGAGCCTGCAACCTCTGTTATTTTTACTTGATTATAGACATCCATGCTATGCATGGTCATTGTTGGTCACCTGGACTGTCTTATAGATAGAAAAATCAACAATAAAGCCAAGTCTTTTTTTTCCACTAAATTTTAATGTGTATGCTGATGTCTGTAACAGAAAAAGAGCTAGATTGAGAGATAAAAAAAAAACAAAGGAGATGAATTTTCGTTCAAAACAAAACATTAAATTTTTACATGCTGGTGATCAGAAAATTGGAAATGTTTGTGGCCAGTAAGGTAAAAATGAGCAACAGTGAAAAAGAAAGCAGACAGGAACATTGAAGTTTCAAATACATTTGTGAGATTCTTACAACTGTACAACATTTCCCTCATAAAATGTGTAACTAGAAAGTTTCACATTGTAGCCTCTCAACAACAACTATGCAAAGAAATGTACAAAAAGTGTGTTCACATGCAAAGTTGTTTTTTATGCTAATCAGACCCATTGTACATGTTGTTTTTTTTTTTGCCATTCTTTTTGCCTTCACATTTAGCATTATATGAATTTATTTTTGTGTTAGTAGATTATAAGTATAGTTAGCAATTAAGAGCTTCGCTTTTAGCCCTTACTGAATCAATAATTATATTACATTTCTTTTGTTTTATTCCTCCAAGCCTCATAGCCAAGTATGAATTTTAATATATTGAAACTCATGGTCTTTTACTCCTCCACTACATGTACAGCTGTAGGCACTTTTCACAATTTTAAGAGATAGTCAAGATAGTCAATTGTGATGTTTATAGCCCGTTCCAGGCTTCCAGATAAAGAAGGGATCAGTGAGAGCATTAGCAAGTAATCATGTGGGGTCTGCTACTCTTCTTTTCACAGATCATATACATCTTATTTTTGCTTGACCTTTTGTTTGCAAAATCCCTGTACTAGCCTGGAGCAGTACATGTTTAAGCTCCAGTGTTTATGAACAATTTATCAAATTTGTCATTAATCGGTGATCTAACCAAAACGAGTTTGCACCATTGTCTGCTGCACAGCAGCAGGTTGATGTGCTATTGCAACCTCAAAATAATGTTTGCCTGCAGGCATTTCTGAACTCTGCCTGATTTCACACCTACCCCTACTGGAAGACCTGTTCACAGCTGGCCACTTGATACCAGAAGCAGGGCTCGAAATTAATTTTTTGGATAACTAACCCTTCGGGTTAGTGGACATAAATATTACTAACCAAATTATAAAGTTTATTATCCAAGAATCTGTTCTTTAACTATTGAAAGTACTGCTACTAAATGGGGCAACTCAATGAATGGATGGATTGGTTCAAATTTAATGATGAACTGCAGAACGAAATAATGATATAGAAAATTTACTGCTCGTTTACATTTTCCTTTTAATTACGTTACGCGAGGGTGGGAAAATCACCATAAACACTGAAAACGTTGTTTGTTGAGGCTCATCGAACTGCAGCCAGGTGAATGCCTTTTTCGATTCCTGGCTTGGTAGAAAGATCTTTCTTTCTTCATACGTTCTCCTCGCGGGAGCCTTCTTTAGTGTTTGAAACTGAAAGTTGTTGTTCTCGATCTTCCATTTCCTCTTCACAAATTNAAATTAATTTTTTGGATAACTAACCCTTCGGGTTAGTGGACATAAATATTACTAACCAAATTATAAAGTTTATTATCCAAGAATCTGTTCTTTAACTATTGAAAGTACTGCTACTAAATGGGGCAACTCAATGAATGGATGGATTGGTTCAAATTTAATGATGAACTGCAGAACGAAATAATGATATAGAAAATTTACTGCTCGTTTACATTTTCCTTTTAATTACGTTACGCGAGGGTGGGAAAATCACCATAAACACTGAAAACGTTGTTTGTTGAGGCTCATCGAACTGCAGCCAGGTGAATGCCTTTTTCGATTCCTGGCTTGGTAGAAAGATCTTTCTTTCTTCATACGTTCTCCTCGCGGGAGCCTTCTTTAGTGTTTGAAACTGAAAGTTGTTGTTCTCGATCTTCCATTTCCTCTTCACAAATTTTGGGCAACGACCTTTTTCTGAAAAAACTATCCAAGCATCTCTTAAATAGGTTGCAGGGTATGAACGAGCCACTTGCAAAAGATATATTTTTTAGGCTGCGTCCAGATCTCCCCACCCATTTCAAAAGCCTGGTTACCTTGAGTTCTGTGAAATGTGCATTTTTTGTTCTGTCAATTATGCTGTAAGCATATCTTTTAGAACAATAAATTGATCAAGATAGAACACAATGTTATGTAAAAAAGAAACAGGTGTAACATTTTCAATGACAGAAAGTTTTACTAACCGTGTCGGGATAGTAAGGCTCATTTTTAGTAACCAAACGCTAGAAACTACTAACCTTTGGTTAACGGGTTACCGTTAATTTCAAGCCCTGAGAAGGATACTGTCTAAGGGCATCATTACCATAGGACTACACTGTGTCATTGCCAACTGACAAAGTCATTTTGAGGATGTCATCCAGCGTAGGGTGTTACCCAATGATATATATCTACCAACCTGATTGTGTCATTTCTTAGCTCAACATGTATGATCTCTAGCTAGCAGGGTGTGGTTCTAAGGATTATCACCATTAAGGTCTCTTTCCCATGGTATCTATCCTATGGTATCCTAATAAGGTTTGTTCCCTGGGCATCGTCCCAAGGGTATCATTTTAGAGTGTCATCCCAAGAGTATCGATCACTATATATGTATACATTCCCTATAGATCCCAGGTCATCAACAGACTGGAATCATAAGCATATTGATATAACAATAAGAAAAACATATAATACAGTATAACTGAAACAATCAACTTTAGACGAAGAAAACTGCTATCAATGAACGCAGTTCCTGCTAAAACCCTGGGTTGTTATCATCTTTGTATCACTGAGTCTATGATCCGGTCAGTATAAAAGATGGACTGCGGACTACGGACTGCGGACTGGGTATAAAATATGGACTAGGTATAAAACGCGGACTAGAAAATACGGACTGGGTATAAAACACGGACAAGGTATAAAACACGGACTGCAGACTGCGGACTGGGTATAAAATATGGACTACGGACTACTTTGGTAAAAACCGTGCAAATTGGTTCTAGGTAAGGAAAAACAAGATCAAAAGATCGCTAAATAGCAAGACACATGAGTTAAAGTTGTAAATACTCTTATAAATCCTTGGTGGAGGTGTCCCGCCCAGTTCTCTGAATCATGAGCCGGATCAAAATGCTATTTTCTTCACCCATTTTTAGACCTTGTCTTGGTCTCTAACAATCATGAAAGGGGTCAGGATCAGGGTGGTACTCCCTTCTATAATGGAAGGGTAGGGGGTTTGGGCCTTTTTGGTCTGAAAACACTTTGCCCATTTTGGTCTGGAATCGGGTATGGTTTTCGAGGGAACAACGGGAGTGACATGAATGGACGTATTTATCGTTTCAATTCCAAATGAATAAGAACGAAATAGAAATGTGCGAATTCGAAATGTATTTGGAGAATTTTTTTTTGTTTCCGCTCTAACTTGGTAATGATGACAAAATTTCTGCCTAATTAGACCTAACCTGTTCAAGGCTCTGAGATAGTTGGGTCCGCTGAATTGAGAAAGCGAAAACACAAAAAAAAAAAAAAACGGGAGAAAACTGGGGAGTCTCCCCAACTACCTGAGAACCTGGAACAGGCTAAATTAGGCCAGGTCCGAAAATGGGTATGGATTTTAGAGATCTAGTCTGAAAACGGGTGTGGAAAATGACAATTTTTTGGTCTGCAATAAAGTCAGGATTCGGAGAACCAGGCACTACACCCCCACCAAGAATTCCCAGTAGTACCCCCTTCCGGGGATCAGGAGCAGGGTGTAAATCATGTCATCATAATCATCGCTTAGAATATAACATTGGATGACTCATTTCGGTTATTATTCACGTATGTGAGTATAATCCCTCGCACCTAAATACTGCCTTTGTGCATCGCATTGACCTTCTCATCTGAGTTCTTCATTCAGTCCTCATATTCCCAAAGCTTTATTTGAAACGGAATTGTGGCATAAGATAAGAATTTTACTGGTGTGACTAGCACCAATACTATTTTTTTAATTCGGTGCTTCTTATTGGGTAAAACTGCAAATTGAAATCTCTTCAAACTCCTTCTTTTTATAAAATTCAGAGTTTAATTTCAGTTGCCTTGAGTACCGGCATAACCTTCCTTCTCCGTGGGAAAAATAGACTACGTGAACAGTGTTAAAGCTGAGACTACTGTTTTTGCTAGTCCGCTTTCTATTTCTCTCCGTTTTACCTTCTAAAGCTGTTTTTATATACATAGTCCGTAGTCCGCGTTTTATACCTAGTCCGTGTTTTATACTCAGTCCGGAGTCCACATTTTATACCTAGTCCGTATTTTATACCCAGTCCGCAGTCCGTGGTCCGCAGTCCGCAGTCCGTGTTTTATACTGACCGGTCTATGATCTCCCTACCAAGAGTAGGCCATTTGCAAGCTGCCCCAATCCTCTGTTTTAAAGAGAGCCTAAGTGCTCAGCTTTTGATATGAAAATGATTTTTTTATTCTCGTGCAAATATAACTCATTTTCACAAGAAAGGTTTTTCACTTAGCCTCATTTGAAAGTGAGAGTTTTTGGAGCTCGGAAATGGCCTATTAATTTTCTTGTTGTCAGTGAATCACCCCTTGACCGTCACTTGCTGGATCAGGTTTCAGAGACACCATGACAACATAACTTTGTGGTTAGTAAAGTGGCTTGCTTTTAGACTGATGTTCTGTTCTGGAATTGTCAAGCTGTCAAGTCGATGTCCTACATGGTGGAGATTAACCGCACTTGATTGGCACTATGAATCACATGTACAACTAGTGTGCATACAGCTCTGGAAAAGTTTGATTGCACGCATTTATTTGGGAAAAAAATTTACATTGTTCTTGTTAATAGTGGGACATTACATGTACATGCACAGGACTGCTTCAAAAAAGGTGACAGACACTCTCGTCTCTTGAGACCCAATTCTTGCATCTCGAAACTCAAACATATTAAGAATCAAGACAGGTAATCAAGTTTTGAGGAGTGAGTCAAAATCATCAACTTGTGTTTGAGTGGTACTGTAAGTCGACTTTTTTAATTACTGATTTCTCAAAGACTGACTAATGCATGACTCAGTTTTATTTGTTGTAGTGTATCCCCACCCCACTGGCTTGGTATGCACATCAGCTCCCAAAATGGTTTCAGAGGCTAAGTGTAGTTCTAACGTGAGTAAGTTACGCACGGTATTTAGCATAATAAAAATTGTGGTAATTAGTTTTGTAATATTAAACATTTGATATTGAATGACTTGAACCCTCGCTAACTCGAACCTCGTACTGGATTTTTCTCATACATTTACTGTAATTTCATTCTCGGTAACTCGAATGCCCCGCTATTAAACGCACAGTATTTTTTTCCCTTCGGATCATTCCTATATAATTCTACCCTTGATAACTCGAACCATATGCACGTTTTAAGCATGTGATAAGTCGGGGAAAAAAAAGAAAAAGAAAACAGAGTACTGAAGTCCAAAACATTGATTGAAAAAACAATCGAAACAATAATTCTTCATTATAATATTCTTTGTTTTTCCTTTTTTGTCACTCCAGATCAAATTCATTGTCTATCTCAGTATATTAATCAAATTGTTGCTTTAAAAGTCCTTTTAAAAAAATAATATTAGTCTATATCTCTTACTGCCCTTGAAGTGAGGTGTGCATAATAGTTGCATTTCCTCCCCATCCATTTGCTTATATTTCTTATTCCCTGTTATCTGCTTTGAACTCCCGATAACTCAAACTTTTTCTATTTCCCTAGAAGGTTTGGTGTTATCGAGTCGACTCAATTATAACAATTAATTAACCAACAATTAGATATTTTATTTTATTTAGACTATTAGTTCTAGTGTTCTAGAAGTCAACAGTCTTCATAGTGCATTTGATCTGTGCAAAATTTTGAACATGTAATATAATGTAAAAAACTCTTTTTTATACAATTAGGTGAATTCATTAAATATTAAAAATTAAAATATATTATCCAAAAAAACAAATACTAAATTTCAATTCCAGTGCTTTTGTGGCTGCTTATTATAAAGTTTTTCTTTTTTTTCTGGGATAATAATTAAATATTAATTTTTAATAATAATTATGATTTATCTACTTCTTCCTTGACTGAAACATTGTGAAAATTGTTTTTTCTAGTTGTTATTGTTTTGGGTTTGTTCAAAACACCAGTGTGCTACTCATCAATAACATAATAGATAGTGAGAATGTCAACCAATCAGACTGTAGATTCATGACAGTATGCTGGTTGCTGTCTACTAATCTCTGTTTACAAGTGCATGTATATGTAATATTGGAACCTTGCATAACTACTGCCAAAAATTATTCAGATGACCAAATCTCCTGTGGCCAGGATTTCATGGCCCAATGGTGCTCATATTAACATTGTTCCATTGTACTTCTTTCTTTTTTCTTGTTTTTTATTAATGCTTTGTATTTTCTTCCAGGTATGTCATTTTAATTGCATTATCATGGCTATTTTTCATTCCTGTTCGATCCTTGAGGATATTTTCATTTTATGCCCAGGTGATTTTGCTATTTTAAGTTTGACTCATATAAAAAAAATAATTTTGCCTGTTTTTAAGGAAATTAAGGGCCAGTAAAGTTAATGTACAACAGTACAATGTGGTTTAGAGTCAGGTGGAACTGAGTACTTAGTCTAGAGTAGGGTAGACTCTAGCAGTGAGGGTGGTACTCTAAGAATTCTTTAGTGTTGATACATTTTGTTGGGCTTTCAAAAATTCTTGGCAGATTGAATGGTGGAGGAAAATTGCTGTTTATGGGCTCAGTTATTAGATGGTGCTGTCTTTATTTTGAGCATGCT